TAGTAGTGCAAATTAGCCATACAAGTCAATCTATTGCACTACTCTGTCACAGCTCACATAACGGGATGAATGGCAGAAATTCATTTGTATCGGCTAAACACTCATTTCTGTTATTCATTTGCGGGTTCCTATGAGAGATCCACAAGGTTTTGAGAGCTTTCCTTGCAGAGATATCCGGTTTGTAAGCCAAAATGGAACATTTGATTAGATAGTCATTGTCTCCGTGATCGTTGTGTTTGTGCCTTCCGAGAGGTGACGTCAGACTACCTTTTCTCTTACTGGCTAGATGTTCCTTCATTCTCACACCAAGCGCTCTTCCGGTTTCTCCGAAGAACGGCTCTCGATCGATCTGTGATTCTGTTCGATCTAACGCTAAATCTTCCCTCCAGGCCAAGTACGACAAACTCGGTGGTGCCGCTCGTAAAAGTCTAAATGGATGCAACTCACCTAAGCAAAACCGCTGTGAGACTGACATAGCTCCAACTGAAACACCTGATCGAACGGGAGAGTCACAGTAATTGGTAACACTCAAATTTCTGATAACGCGCGTGAGTTCCTTGGTTTAGGTCCATCATTCTCTATCAGTCAGAACGTTAACGGGTCTGTTTTTCGCAAGGTCGTGGCTGGCCTTCACAGACTCGGAGACCAACTTAGAGTTAAGGCCAAAGTTGATAAGAACAGAGATCCAGAGATTGTTGAAAAAGCATCAAGGCTGAGACCATTCCCTCTATACCGTTCCCAAGTTTATTCTATAGAGAGCCTCAACCAACACCTGAGGCCGATGTCAAGTTTAGAATATTGTTGTCTGGCGTTTTATCCGCTTACACTCGGGCCAAAAGACAACATCACGTCAACTTGACTCACTCACAAAGACTTGGTTACAAAGAGCTGCGTGATTTGATAGCAAATGAGGCTGTGCGCATATCCGTCAGTGACAAAGATGGAGAATTTGTGACTATACCACGAGAGTTAGATCGCAAAATCACAAAACTTCACCTTAGCGATGCAACAGTCTACCGTCGCGTCACCGAAAAGGAATTTCATGCGCAATATAAACAGCTTAATCATGTATGGATGACAGTAGGGAAATCCGCCGGCCTTGACGAGAGCTCTCTTAGCAGACTGAAGTTGGACACGCCAAGTTGCCCCGTTTTCTATAGCCTCATCAAAACCCACAAGTTTGATCAGACTGATGATATCCGCTTGATGACAGCTGGACAATCTAAAATAAGACCGATCATTAGTTGTGTTGGCGGGCCAACCGATACAATATCATGGTTCTTGAACAAAATTGTTAATCAGCTACTGGCAAGAGTACCGTCCCACTTATTCAACACTAACCACTTTCTTGAACGCTTACGGAACGCTCAGTTTGACGACAATTCCGTAGCTGAGTCATTTGATGTGGTATCATTGTATACCAATGTTCAAAATGACGATGCTCTACAAGCGTTGTCAGAAATGTTGGATAGTGAAGGAAAGAATATCGACACCTTTGGGCTGAGTAAGAGTCATGTCATGACCCTGATCAAAGAATGTTTGAGTTGTTCCATCTTTAGATGGTCAGGAACTTACTTTACCCAACTGAGAGGTTCGCGATGGGACAAAGACTTGCGCCAGCGCTTGCGATATGTTTAATGAGTAGAATCGAAAACCCGGTGTTGTTGCGACAGCCTCTTATGTATTGCAGATATATCGATGACTGCTGTCTCATAACATCCACGCAGTCCGAAATGGACGAATGCTTTCGATTACTGAATCAGCAGTCTCAATACATAAGATTTACGCGAGAACAACCGACGGATGGTTGGCTGCCTTACCTAAACGTGCAATTTAAATTGTCTGGCTGTAATGCGATTGTGAAATGGTATCGAAAGAAGAGCTGCAAAAATATCTTACTACATGCTCGTTCTTCACATCCATCTGCTGTTAAACATGCTGTTATACGAAACATGTTTGAGACCGCAGCACAAATTTGTACAGGAGATGAAGAGAGAACAGAGTCACGAGCTATGGCTTTGAGCATCGCTAAGAATAACGGATACCAAATGCACAGATTGCATGGTAGAATTAGGAAAGACGATGCTCAGCACAGTAGTAGAACACCACTCTGTTTACCTTACATTTCCGAGCAAGTCAGTGCTGCCGTACAGCATAGCATAAAGCGAGCACAGTTATGCGATGATATCATTCTCGTGAACATCCCAAGCGATAACATCAAGAAACGACTTGTGCGAAATAGACTTTACGACAAATACTGCATTTCGAAAGAATGCATTATTTGTCCGTATAACAATGTCGGTGACTGCGCTAAAACAGGTGTGGTATATCAGATTGATTGCTTGACATGCGGCGCCACCTACATTGGAGAAACCGGAAGAGCGCTTGGTGTGAGAATGAAGGAACATCTAGCCAGTAAGAGAAAAGGTAGTCTGACGTCACCTCTCGGAAGGCACAAACACAACGATCACGGAGACAATGACTATCTAATCAAATGTTCCATTTTGGCTTACAAACCGGATATCTCTGCAAGGAAAGCTCTCAAAACCTTGTGGATCTCTCATAGGAACCCGCAAATGAATAACAGAAATGAGTGTTTAGCCGATACAAATGAATTTCTGCCATTCATCCCGTTATGTGAGCTGTGACAGAGTAGTGCAATAGATTGACTTGTATGGCTAATTTGCACTACTAATTCGGAGAAGAGGTCGCACACCACCATCGGTGCGATAGCGCTAGAGCCACGGTCAGTTAGTTATCCCATTTGATTTTCACTAGTGAATCCATAGGGAGGATCGAAAAACTGGCCAGGGTTGACAAGGCGTTTGGTGGGACAAACATAAGATCATTAATCGCGCGCCACTTTAGGCCTCTGAAGACGAGGATTGCTCGAAACGTTAGGCCGCTCTACTAATAAAGCTTCGCCGAAACCTCGTGCTGGCACAACTAACGAATAGATGTTGACAGTGATTTGTTTTGATGAGTTTGGTACCTTTCCAACTTACAAGCGGAGGACTCAAAGTCGATCGGTTTTCCAAATGAAATATAAACCATTCTGGGGAGCATCAACGCTGATTCCAAAACTGTCCCTGTTTTTGCCAAGCGCCTCTGAACGCTGAGTTAAGGGTGTTTTTGGAATGAAAAATGGTAGCATAATTCAGGTGAATTAAATGATTATAATCTTTCCAGAGCTCAAATAAGAACTTTGAGTACGAGTATATTAGACAAAAAGTTTTTCGTGCATAGAGTGCTCTAATATCCAACGTTGGGCCGTTTGCGCAATCTTGGACGAATTTGTTTTGCTTGCGCATTCAATTTTTGAAGCCAAAAACGCTCATAACTTAGCGTCCAGAGGGGCTTGGTAGGTAAAACAGACAGTTTTGGAATCAACGTTCGATGGTCGTCAAAATAAATATATACATCATCTGAAAAGTCGATTTCAACTTTGGGTTCACCCTTGTTGGAGGAAATTACGGTTAGCAAGGAAACATTGCGTTTTGCTTGCGAAAATGCGCCTCCTAGGCTACCGCCTTCCCTAGGTTTTTGTGTTATACATATACATATACCATCTTTCACATTGGTGATTGAATGTAAATAGCTTTGCCATCAAAACTGAGCTCAAAATTACCTGAATAGTACATAGAAAATTTTGAAAATGGGTAAATTTGAGGAGGTGGTGCAATTTGTTTATCGTTGTTGCTAAAATCGTCTTGCGTGATTATGTAAACGGAAAGAAATATTCACACTCTGTACAATGTGTATGAAATAGTAAGTTTGGTAAATTTGAAGGATTTTAGCAACGAAATTAAGCGAAAACATCGTAATCAAACAGCTGATAATTTATTTATCATTTGAACAATCAGTGGAACCCCAACTTATCTATATATTCACGAGCAATACTCTATTTCAATACGTCGTATGATCGTCATCCTCTCAGACATTCCGGGAGCTTTCCATTTATTTACTCCACAGAATTCTGCTCAGCTAAGTTACTCCTTCCATCAATTTCTTATCTGGTATTCTATAGATGAGCAAGTGTTTGAAAGTATTACATAATAGGTTTCTCTCAAATCAAAACGCTGAACCACTGGTTAAGTTGTCTTTCCATTTTGTCTGAATCTTTTTTGTTCTGGCACTTCATTCAAACATTCCACTCATTTTCCTCCATTTAATCAATTTTACTTATTTATTGAACTTCATTTCTTCACCTTATATTTAACTGGTTCTCATTTGTTCACCTTTGATGACACTGGTACTTAATGGGACACATTCTTAGTCAGACCACTTTTTGAAGTAATATATTTTATACGTTATCGGCCTATGAGGAAGGCAATATTGCCGAAGGTCATGCTAAATAAAGACTTATAACAAACCTGATTGGCTAACAACTTACATAATATACCACTTTTCAAAAAAACTGTTAATGAAAATTTGTGTCTCTAAATCATTTTTTATGAGAATTCTGATAAGCAAATAGTAATTTGAAATTTTTGGTCGGGAAGAGCTTTTCTGAATTTTCGACGATTTTGTGACATCGATTTCCTTTCTTTCAAAAATTAGGAGCTGTATTGCATGAACATACTCACTTCTACCTTCCACGGTAAATTAAGCGACAGATCAGCAGCGAAAGTGTTTTGGCTGCAAAATGTATTCAAATTGTTTACAATATCATTTACCAATTCTATTTCCTCTGCGAAAGTTTGTAATGGACCACTTATTTTACAACTGCGTTTAAAATCCCCTTTGCACCAGCATCGTTCCAGCGCCGTTACAGCAAAGTGCCATATCGTACCAGCTCCGCGCGGGACCAATAGGGACAAATGTATTGATCGATTAATCCCTTGTCGACAGTTCTGGCACGGCGCTGGAACTGTGTTGGAACGGCTAGAACGTGCTGACACTGCCAACTTCAATGCGTTCGAGAGACAACGATAACGCGCATCACTTGCTCAAACTAGATCTTGCCTACCACCTATAAGGAACAGAAGTGATTTTTTTCAGATCTACAGTATGTTCTCTGCACGAGCCATCCTCCTTTGCATACTTCTAGTCTTTATACAAGCTTGTAGAGAGGGTGATGCACGAGTCGTTAAGGTAAGTAGACATCTCGCAATTCGAAAAATAAATCATTTTTCTTTCAGCAAATAGCATATGGCAGAAATATACCGGCATGGCGATCTTCAATTCGGGTTAGGCAGGTGAGTGTAAAAACGAGGATTATCCCGTCTTCATTCCTAGATTGCTCCAGTTGATTTTCCATTATCTTTTGTTATACAAGATTTAAAATTGTCCCCACCCAGTGCTACCGTAGTTACGTGAATTTACATATTCCTATGTTGGAATGTGAGTAATTAAAACTGACTCCAATCTGCGAGAACAAGACACGCTCATGCATAATAATTTTTGCCGAACAATTATCGACAAATCAACAATAAATCGACAACTGAATTTGATGTTGATAATCATTTGCATCAATATTTATAATTGTTTCAGCTTATTTTTGCGCCTTTCCTTATTATTTTCGATGTGGTATTTAGGTACAAGGGGACTTCCCACGCTTGTCGGCATTCTACGGTGGTGGTGGAGTTCGTCCGCAGCTTCTCAATTTCTACAAACGGTCTGAAGAAATGTACGATCCAGCAGAAGAGAACTAATTGTAAACAGCAATAGTAGATCTCAAAGCTTCGATTATCTATGGTGTGATCTCTTTGCACAACTCATTTTGCCATATAGAATTTTATTGATTTCATCCTGATAATGAACATGTTGGTTAACTTTGAGAAAGTGCAGAGAAGTAGGACTGCTGATCGATACTTTCTTATACAAGCTAGTCGATCGAAAGCTGTTTACCCTTTGATTCAACTGGATTGGCGGTTGGAAGGCGGGGCTTCGTGACATAGTCAAGGCTAGAGAATCAACAGAGAGCAGAGCGCGAGAGAGAAACAGACTGCGTCGCAGCGCGAGCGGTCATAACTAGGCACAAGCCCCCGCCTCTCAGCCTCCAATCCAGTTGTATCGAAGGTTTCTTTTCGTCATGGCTTTGAGATGGCACCAGGAGCTTTTGAAACAGTTGCTCGTTGACTTATTAAAACACTACGAGTTGTTTCATAAGGATATCAAAGAGAAAACAGAAATAAGCAGAAAAGATAGAAGAGAACACGGAAACGAACACTGAGCACGCACCGGAAGAAAATAATTTTGTTTTTTCTGCACTTATAGCAAGTTGTCTCCTGTGCGTACCGCGATTAGAGCAGAACTGCTCTCTCATTTTGTGGAGACGGGGGGGGGGGGGGGAACTGAGCGGAGACGAGGGGGTTTGAGGTTAATCAACTATTAGGTTGGCTAAAAAATAATCCTGGTCGTTTTTGACGGCTTGTAGGAATGTCACAGATGCATTTTTGTACAAATATATGATACCATTCGAAAGAGTAAATTATGAAAAATCGGAAGATTGACTTCGTTTGCTCAAAAATTATTTTTTTCGTGGCGAAATGGCGCAGGAAAGCAAAAAAGCCATTCTTCAAATTTCCAAAGAATCATGCTCCAAAAAAAAACAAATTGGGTTTGTAATGGGCACGAATCGTGCCCACACATACGATTTTGATATTCCAAAACATTTGCATAACCATTTGCATGGCCAGAAATGGTAATTCAAGAGGGTTGAATTGCTCCAATTGACTTCCACAAAATTGACGCTCAGATACCTGGAAATTCTCACATTTCTGGCTGCAGAAATGCATAAAAAGCAGATCACAGCTTCCGTTGTGGTTTGCCATGTGGCCAAAGGTTGTATTAGGCTGCTGCATAAGTTCCGTCCAATTTTTTTTATGTTTGAAGCAGCTGTTCTAAGAGAATTTCATCTCTAATGCGACTTTGTTAGTGTAATTAAAAAGCGCTTTTCTCGCTCTTTCTAAAGCATATCAAATTTCTGTAAATTCCTTAGTGTAAGGAAAATTCAGGCCTAAGATCTCCAAGTGGGCGAGGTACGTTCTTACCCTAGAAATATGTTCTTGCGATGGAATCTCCACAATGCACACTTCAAGTCAAGTTCTTTCATTGGTTTCGGAATAAGACTGTAACAGGCTAGCATACGCATAAGTTCAGTTTCATGAAGAAAATGTCTTGCTAGTAAGATTTATTGTCAAACATTATTTTTCTGTACAAATGTTTTACAAGCAATAACTTTCTGCGAATAGAAGTAATCGACGACTTCAAAGTTGGAGGTGCTAGGGTGAAGCAAGAGCTAGCAGGGCTCATCCACGAATTTCTTTGCGGCGCTCAAGTCAATTGCAAAATTTTCATAATTCGTAAATAGGCATGCACATATGCGCTGAAGCGAGGTCAAAAAGTGGCTTCTTTATTTATTCGATCAAAAAATCTCTCGTCAAAGCAGACCCTATGGGCTCTTTTATGCTAAGAAATAATTTACGAAAATTTCTTTGTCTATCCATCGCTAGATGAGATGCCTACAAGTTCTCATAAGGCAGGCATTGCCATGTCAAAAAAGACAGGTTTGAAGAAAAACGCTGTAACTGCTTGAGTTCTTGCTTCTTCCTTAACAAGGATCGCAGTTCTCAACATGTGACTGATAGCCAAGAAACTGCTTAACACATAGAAATTAAGAAAACTGGAAAAAAGTTAACTTTGAAAGAAGCTATGACATTTTGAATTCAAAAAATTCAAATCGGACAGAACTTATGCAGCAGCCTAATACAGGGTGTCCCAAAAAAAATGTGCCTACTGTTTGATTGTAAATAACTCTCTTGTAATGAAGTGTTTCGAGAAGCTTTAGGTACCGTTTTGTAGAGCGAGGTTAAGATTAGACTTACAGTATGGAGAGAATCATCTATCGCTCTTCATTACTGTAGGATCGTGGTACGAACTTCGACAATTATTTTAGGCCATCGGAGGCTATATTCTGCCTCGGAACTAAACCAAACAGGCAAAAAACTCTTATACTACGGTAACGGGAGCTGCTGATTTCGAATCTGAAATTTCGATTTTACTGTAATGCTTCTTTCCTAAGTTATCTCCGGTAAATCGTAATAACTCAATTCCCAGCATTTGTCAGAAATGTAATTACACCGTTAAAAAAGCTGAAAACACAAGTTTAAAAAGTTGTTAGATGAAATCAGCATGCGCGAAAACCCTAGTACACGATTTTTCAGATTTTTTTGAAAAAAATTTTGTCAGATAGTATATTTCACAATGGTTCCATATGCTGGAAGTTCTTACCGGAATCCTACAGTAATGAAGAGCGATCGATGATTCTCTCCATGCTGTAAATCTAATCTTAACCTCGCTCTACAAAACGGTACCCAAAGCTTCTCGAAATACTTCATTACAAGAGAGTTATTTACAATCAAATAGTAGGCACATTTTTTGGGACACTCTGTAGCTAAAATTTTCTCCTTTTCCTATACTATTCTCTCTAGGCTGTTTGGGGCTCGCCATTTGGAAGACCCTATTGGAAAAAAAAAGTCCGCAATGGGTTCGACTTTTATGAACTTTTTCTAATTTTTCGCACATAGCTAATTCCCTAATGCGCATATGCACTATAGTTGAAACGACCGAAAATTTTCGTCGAACGAATGAATTTCGAATAATCGGCTTTTGAAAAATATTCGAACGAACGAATATTATTCGATCTGTGATTTTCAGATCATTCGAATTTGAATATTCGAATAATGCTACATTTCAAAATTCGAATGAACGAATATTCGAATAAATGGGGTTGGTCGAATATTCGACTATTCGAATAATCGAATAATTACATATGGTCGAACATTCGACTATTCGAATAATCGAATAATCATACCGGTCCGAATATTCGACTATTCGAATAATTCGAATAATTTAGAGGCTCAAACAATGCTGGTTTTTTCTTTGTTGCGGTTTGCAAAAAAAACTTAATCGCTATATTTGATCTAGATTTGTAGCTCTTAATTATATGTGTAGCAAGTGGTAGGATGACTGGGTTATTATCGTTGCTAAAGGTTCCACCTAGGAAACAGAAGAATTTCACTCAAACATGTAGTTCAAGGTGTTCGTGGCCTTCTGAGACGGCTACTAAGCCTTACTTAGTAATCGTTTCAACGCATTTATTCTTCCTTACAGAAGTTTCTTCCGAAGTTACACAGATCTTTTTCCCAAAGCTTTAGATTTAACATGGAAAACCTTTTAGGTTAGGTAGTTGGTTGTGATTTATTCGTAATGGTCAGCATTGCGTGAGTTCTAAGACTAGCACTGGGGGGGGCACGAGGAAGGCCTACAGTAATAGAATCAGTGAACCTCTGCGGTTGTCCCGAAAGTTTTGTCCGTTTTTTCAAACCGCTATAGAAACACGCACAATAAAGACCTGAATGACTCTCAACATGCATTCGATGCAGCTTTTCCCTCTCTTTTAAGAATACATTTTCGAACCACAATCTTAAATGCTTTCTTTGATAATTGCCAAAATTCTCCATCCGTCAATTTTATCTGCTCAAAGTTAAGCTACTTTTTTTAAATTTCATTCCAAAGTCTTAAATTTCATTCCATAGTTTCGGAAAGGACTAAGTATGGATCAAATAGAGCAATTCTCGGACTACAAGGTAATATTTTTAGATTCTCTTATTGCTGTTTTTAGCTTCAAAAACATTATTTCTTCGGAAGTTTCGATTTTTTTGAGTCATGAAACACGCAACTGCAGCAAATACACGAAAGCTTTCAAAGCTTTTGCGAATTGAAATATGATTCTTATCAAACACTATCTATGCTACATAACCAAGTTTGATTTGCTTTGAAAAAGCAGCTTTTCGGAATTTTCGGTACTTTTAAGTGGTAAATGTAATCAAAAAGCGCAGCTTTCATCAAACAATTAATTATAAAGAGCTTGGTAAACATGGATGTAATCTAAATTGGATACAATGTAGCCAGAGGCTTGCTCTATATAATAATTTTCCGCGCTCTTTGAAAACATCAGGATAAAAGTTTTTTGAAACTCAGTAAAGATTTGGCGTTACTTCCGAGCTGCTCAGAAAGCCGTGTCGATAACATTGCAGAGGCAGAGTAGATCAGAGAGCAAATAGAGCTGTAAGAAAGAAGGTAAAAATATGTATCAAGTCGTACTTGAGTTGTCCATGCTTTGGTGTTCTGTGACTTCTAGCGAGCGATAAAAAAAACGGACAAAACTTTCGGGCTTTCGGGACAACCTAATACTTCTGTGCTCATATAAATGCAAAAAAAGAAAACTCATGGAAGTATTTGTATATTAGCTGATAATCTAACACTTGTCGGGAATTCTCGATCAGTGAGTTCCAGAGTTTCTGCTGTAGGACTGAATTCTCACAAAGTTGTTTTAGTTGTATTTTTGAGGTTTGTACTTTTTTGTAAGGGATCTTCCACATCTCTTACTCAGGTTTAAAATAATCAATGTTCAACCTACACGCCTACTCAAAGTATTATTCCTCTACGAACTTTGCAACCTTCTAATACTAGTTTTATAAGACTGGGCAGCCGATTTGAGCATAGTGACTGATATAAGACTGCCCTCAAGTCAAGCGGCTCAGGTCCTCACGACGACCGCCTTGCTCTGGCCTTGCGTTGTAACGTATCTTGAAGGTATTCTGACATGCGAGCGGTGCTTAGGCTGGCAAGGCAAGTGAAAATCTCGAGATGAAGGAATGAATGTTGCCTATACCTGCTGCCTTAGGAGACTGTTAATCCTTTACATGCT